AATATATATATATATGTCAATACACATAAAATATATTATCAATTAACATATATAAATATATATATATACTATATACATATATATATCTGAGCTACAATTGCATTATCTAGGTCAGTTTTTTTTCTGCAAAAAACAGACAGGTACGACCTCACATTGCCTCAAACTGGCTCACATCACCTTACACTGCCTGCTATTTCCTCCAAAATAGTGGTACAGGGAAAGCATGGCCAGCCTGCTCCATTGCATCAGTGTCAAAACTGTCCCAGATACCTGTCAATGGAGACAATGAGACCATGGTGATGTACATATATATATATATATATATATATATATATATATATATGTGTGTGTGTGTGTGTGTGTGTGTGTATTATATTATACTTATTAATATTTTGACTTAGTTTCAATTTTAAATTTAAAGTTTTAGTAATGTAGTGGTGTGTTTTTGGTATTTTTATTACTTTTTTCATATTTCTACTTGAATTATGTTAGCACATCAAGTTAAGCTAAATGAAAATATATATAAAAAAAGCTACCTTGGCCTGGGAAAAAATTAAGTTTACTTTTTCAAGTTAACCAGTATTTTATTTATTTTATTTTTTATTTTTGTTATATAGTTTTAATTTCAGTTAACGATAATAACACTGATATATGTAAGTTTGGTATATTTATAGCATAGTAGGTTTATAACGATGGGTAGATGAGTGTCAAATTACATTTTATAACTAATCAAATGGAGCTGTAACCTCTGAATGATAGCAGGCAGATAAACTTTCTCACTGGTCACTGGATGCTGTTTACACAAAGCATTCTATTTTCTGCCTCCAGTGTCACAGGAAATGTGAACTTGCATGCTAACAGCATACATACTGCTATTTTTAAAAACCATGATGAGCAAATGTTTTGGGAATCTTTGAGAAGGATGTTATGATTGTTTTCGATTAGCGTATGTGAGGCCACATGTCTAAAGAATGTTGATACTGTCATTATAATGTATGCAATGTAGAGAATTTCAAACAGATCACACAATAACTAGTATAATATATCTAGTTAAAAATATTTCACCCAAAAATTTAAATTCACTAATTTACACAACCTCCAAGCATTCTGTGTATTCTGCTAAACTTCAACAAAACAAATATAATACAGGTTTGGAGCGACATGAATAAATGATAACAGAATTTCCATTTTTAGGTGAAATATCCCTATAAAGTCAGACATTAAAAAGTTCTCACAGTTAAAAAAAAATTGCAGATTAAAAATATCCCACAAAAGCGAGGGGGAAAAAAAGAGCAAAAGGCATTGACCTCTCAACCCAGCTGTATTTTGACACTTTGCAGGGGTGCTCCTCACCCAGTGTCCCAAACTGAAGCTTAACCTCTGCTGGAGCAGAACAAATCCTGGCCTCCTGAGTTGCACTTGGCCCTGTAATCTATCTTCATCCTATTGAGCCGCTTAGCTCCCCTCTCCTGCCCCAATCGAGGACCCCGCAGGGAGTTGGAGATCCAGCATTAAAGTGATAGTTCATCTAAAAATGAAAACAACTTTGGAACCCTCTGACTTTCATTGTATGGACAAAAATCATTTTTCAGAACATCTTGCTTGTGTTTCACAGAGCCAAGAAAGTCACTAGGGATTGGAATGACTTGAGGGTGAGTAAATTATTACAGAATTTTCTTTTTAGGTGAACTATCCCTTTAAAATGATGCGGACAGAGCAAGTTTGGTGCTTCCACAGTGGGTTCTTTACAGTATGGAAGCTACATTAAAACAGAGGCTTACAACATCTTAAATAAAAGCTGGTTCCTAGTTAACAAGCATTTTGATCCGTGTGTTTTCTTTAAAGATTTAATGACGGCGTCAACCATGGTGCGGCAAAGTAGTGACGTGATTGACTGAAACAAGCTCTTTCACAGTGGTTGATGTTATAGCACTAATAAATAGATGGGCTACTTTGGCCCGGATCCTTGTGAGTCATTTTATGACGTACAGCTTCCTCGTAACACTATGTCAACATAAACATACTCTCAATGTTGATTCATGAACAGTTTTAAAGTAGCTGATATGTCTAGCTTTTGAATTTGAATCAAATTTTAACTGAGGATGCAGACTGAATTGAAATAAAATAAAAAATAAATAAAAATAAATAACAGTGTACATTCTTGCCAGAACAAAAAAAACTATTAAAATACTTAAAAAAAAAGTTTACTGAAAAAATATTTTAAAAATGTAAAAAATATATAAAAACCATGAAAAAGTTTTTTTTAAAAATCTAGTTGCCAAGGCAACTTTTCACAGTTACATTTTGTTTAACTTGATGCACTAAAATAACTAAAACTCAAATAAACACTAATAAAAAAATATATAGACATATATATAAAAAAAACTAATAAAAATGGCAAAAAGTACTATTGCTATTATTGTTGCTATTGTAAGTATTATTATAAGCATTAATATTATTCATCTCAATTTGATTTGTATATAATCAACTATTATTATTTATAAATGTCTGTTCAATATAATTAAAATGTTAAGGACTGTAAAAGATTTTAATTTGAATTGTCAGGAGGAAGAATTTATACATACATATATTACACCAAAAATTATATAACTATATAACATGCATATTTATACAGTATATAAACTTTTATAAAAACAAATCTAAACTTCTTATATAATAAATACATAACTAAGAAAATATGTCATTTGATTAGAATGGTCAAGAAGAATTTGCATAAATAAATTATATATATATATATATATACACAGTACATATTAGATATTACAGCTAATAATAAACAATATATGTTTTATGTTATATTTTATATGTATATAACATATTATACAAAAAATTCTATTACTACATAAAATACCTATACATACAAAGATTTACCATCTACATTTATTATATAACAATAATGTAACTAAAATGTAATTATATACATGTACAATACACATTCAAATAAAAACAAAATATTAAAGTATAAATGACATAAGTGTTACACATATATAAATTCCTCTTCCTCACAATTCAAGTTCCAAATCATGAATTAAAAGAAAGTCAATTCTTCTTTTCACACAGCTTGTCTCTTTTTAACTGAGATCAGATGAGACCTTCAAGACCAGGCAGCAGATGTGTGTGACCGCAGGAACACCTTCTTCACAACAACAAGAGGTGAACGAGGATCGCAGGCTTGGTGAGAATCACAAATTGTGTTAATGTTAGAAGACAGCTGGTAAAATGCCAATGGAGCTTTCAGAGTTTGGATTTGTCATCTACATGAGGGTGGCCTATATTCATTCCAGCGGACCGAAGGCCTCAACATGCCTCTGGAGCTTTTGACCTGCTAATCTTCTCCAAGAACCTCAAGACTTCATTTTGTCACAGTGCACAAAGCCAAATCATTCTATTACACCCTCCAATCCAATCCAACTCTCCCTCTCCTGCGCTCTCACACAATCTAACAAACACCATTACATCCCAGATCCCTGTCAGAGGCCTTTAGCGGGGTTCCCAAACAAGGACCGCAGAACGTACCAGTGCGGAGCTTAAACAAACACATCTGGCCCAGTTCTTCAGCCGGACAGAAAAGGACCGGATTCCCACAGATACTGTGCTCATTTAAACCCACTGTTGCCCATCGGATATTGTTGTGGAACAATGCAAGAGAGTGCGTTCCTTTGAAATGAAATATATTCATGATGAGCTAAAAGGAAGAGCTGGTGATTGTTTGTTTTTTCTCTGTCTTTGCAGGCCAGGGTGGCTTGAGACAAAAGTCCATGAAGTCCAGCATAAATTGTGGCCGATCTGAAACCGAACTCAAACAGCTGTAAATCAGCGGCGGCGATCGACCGTGAAGAGGCTTCTTTCCCATCCTTTGCATGTCGGATTCGTTTCCAGAATGATAGAACATTCCTTTCAGTATCTTTCAAGTGAGTCCCAAACTCGTAAATCGCTCAGTTGTCAAGTCTCTCTGTGCTTCCTTTAAACAGCAGGACACGCACAGTCTCTCCAAAAATGCCTTGTCCGGTTGCAAACAAACTCCAAATGTTTAAAAGATACAACTAGAAACGAAACCCTTACCTTCACAACAGAAAAACTACATACTTTAACATTTTATATAGTAAACCTGAGGTCTCGACCAATCAAAACCGAAGAATGCAAGATCTTTAAATATAATAAAATGGAAAACAGTTGTTTTAAACTGCAATAATATTTCACAATACTACTAAAATTTTGATCAAATAAATGCTTGATAAGTATAGAGGACTTAATTTTAAAACATTAAATATCTTGATAATTCCAAACTTTTTGAATAATTCCTTATATTTTGGAAAAGGATGGTGCATTTACATTGAAACAACTATCAAAAATATCATTATAAAACCTGTTTTAGATGTTTAAAAATCACTGGTTAAACTAAGCTACACTGGTTTGAAATCCAAACAAGATGTGATGGCCTTAAATGGCCCACTAAAAGAGTTCCTTTGGTGTGGCTCTGAATTAATTAATTCAATTCCCCAGACTATGGTGGGATCCTGTTTGGATTAGCAAAGGAAAATCTATTTAACTTGGTCCCGCTAATGCAGAAAACCCATTAGAAATGCAGTCCCAGGACATCAACCTCAACCCCAGAGACTTTTCAGAATGGACGCATGCCCTGGTCACTGACACACAGCGTGTTCATTAGGAAACACATCACAGAGCAAAGCTAAGCCACTGATCACATGGTCTACATACTGATCAACTCTTAGTCGAAACTAAACCAAATACCAACAATACAAGAATCCTGAGTTATAAATCAGTAACATTAATAAAATATTTGGATACTTTTGGACACAGTTCAATTTATACATTTAATTACATTAATAAGAAAATATAATAATATAATTACAGTATATAGGTATTGTATATTTTAAAATTGACAGCTACTAACCACAAACTAAACCATTCAATACGACACAAACAAAAATCATATAAGAAAAAGTTCAAATGCTCACCTCTGTCTTTTTACCATGTGATCTCCCCTGAGAGGAAGTGGCTCCCGCATGTCTCTCTTGGCCATGCCGTTCCCTTGTGTCGTTTCTTCTAGCCATGTTGTTCAAGTTGAGGGACTGGTTCACCCCTACAGCTCCACTCTGAAATGACAGTACAACAGCTTTTAGCATGGAATGGGACACACTTTGACTGGAACAGATGACCTCTGGAGATGACTATGAGAAGTGGCCAGTTGCTAGAAACACACAGGCAGACACAATCTCAACAGAACATTTTAAAGAGCACAAAAACTACTGAAAATGGAAGGACTTGAGGGAAAAATTATGACCTTGTCCAGAGTAACATGCAACCATAAATCTCGTCTCATGATAAAAACCAGGAATGGGTGTCGTGAGGGCTCTGAAACCATCATGTATTTCAGCTAACTATCGCTGAAGGACATAGTGATACAAACAGACCACAAGTACAAGACATCGTTGTCTTGAGGAACCAAAAGGAACTTTTGTCTCTTGCTGTGAACCCTTGCTACAGGGTGGTTATGTTGCGAGTTTGTGTGAGCTTTTTTTTTTTTAAACAGCATTGAAAGTTCCCCATGGCAAGCACCCAATACAATAGAGCTCTGTGTCAGTGTGACCAGTCTGGTCTAGTCTCTGCCAGCATGCAGCACATTCTATCTAACCCATGTCACAGACAGACGCCATGCACTAGCACATCAAGCAAGGTTGTTTGTTTGTTTGTTTGTTTGTTTGTTTGTGCGTGCGTGCGTGAGTGTGTGTGTGTGTGTGAGTGTGTGTGTGTGTGTGTGTGTATATATGTGACCCTCTCTGTGAAAACACAGCTAAAGTCTCTTTTTTTTGTTATTTACAGTTTTCTACATAAAATCATCCTTCATAAGGTAAAGAACATTCTGTGAAAATGTAACTGTGACAAGTGGGGGCAGGACCGAGAGCCATGGGAACGGAGCAAGGCCAGTGGAGTAATTGATAATGAGCGACACCTGCACCACTCACCGGTCTCGAGTCCCACGGAGGAGCTCCGGAAGGATAAAAGGAGGAGTGACGACAGTGAAAGACGAGAGAGGACCAGGCCTGGATTTTATTTTGTGCTTTGTCGTCCGCGAGGGGCTGCCGCTTTACTTTCATTTTGTGTTTATTTGATTAAAATCGATTAAAATCTTAAATGTTCACCGGTTCCCTGGGTCGAGGAGGGGTGGCTGCCGTCCGAGAGGGAGCGGAGGAGTCGGCCCCGTTCACCAGGAGGCCGGCGCTTGCTGCCATCCTCCATGATTGGGGAGGAGCAGGGAACGGGGGACCCTACAGCTCCACTCTGAAATGACAGTACAACAGCTTTTAGCATGGAATGGGACACACTTTGACTGGAACAGATGACCTCTGGAGATGACTATGAGAAGTGGCCAGTTGCTAGAAACACACAGGCAGACACAATCTCAACAGAACATTTTAAAGAGCACAAAAACTACTGAAAATGGAAGGACTTGAGGGAAAAATTATGACCTTGTCCAGAGTAACATGCAACCATAAATCTCGTCTCATGATAAAAACCAGGAATGGGTGTCGTGAGGGCTCTGAAACCATCATGTATTTCAGCTAACTATCGCTGAAGGACATAGTGATACAAACAGACCACAAGTACAAGACATCGTTGTCTTGAGGAACCAAAAGGAACTTTTGTCTCTTGCTGTGAACCCTTGCTACAGGGTGGTTATGTTGCGAGTTTGTGTGAGCTTTTTTTTTTTTAAACAGCATTGAAAGTTCCCCATGGCAAGCACCCAATACAATAGAGCTCTGTGTCAGTGTGACCAGTCTGGTCTAGTCTCTGCCAGCATGCAGCACATTCTATCTAACCCATGTCACAGACAGACGCCATGCACTAGCACATCAAGCAAGGTTGTTTGTTTGTTTGTTTGTTTGTTTGTGCGTGCGTGCGTGCGTGAGTGTGTGTGTGTGTGTGAGTGTGTGTGTGTGTGTGTGTGTATATATGTGACCCTCTCTGTGAAAACACAGCTAAAGTCTCTTTTTTTTGTTATTTACAGTTTTCTACATAAAATCATCCTTCATAAGGTAAAGAACATTCTGTGAAAATGTAACTGTGACAAGTGGGGGCAGGACCGAGAGCCATGGGAACGGAGCAAGGCCAGTGGAGTAATTGATAATGAGCGACACCTGCACCACTCACCGGTCTCGAGTCCCACGGAGGAGCTCCGGAAGGATAAAAGGAGGAGTGACGACAGTGAAAGACGAGAGAGGACCAGGCCTGGATTTTATTTTGTGCTTTGTCGTCCGCGAGGGGCTGCCGCTTTACTTTCATTTTGTGTTTATTTGATTAAAATCGATTAAAATCTTAAATGTTCACCGGTTCCCTGGGTCGAGGAGGGGTGGCTGCCGTCCGAGAGGGGGCGGAGGAGTCGCTGCCGGCTGCCCTCAATAGGAGGAGCCATCGCCGTCCGCCAGGAGGCAGAGGAGCAGTGGGCCGTCCACCAAAAATGTCCAGTACCATCGCATGGAGCGCAGTCTTGGGAGTACCCCCGGCCTGCGAGGGCGATGGGGGTATGTGACAAGTGGGGGCCGGGCCGAGAGCCATGGCAACGGAGCGAGGCCGGTGGAGTAAATGCTAATGAGCGACACCTGCACCACTCACCGGTCTCGAGTCCCACGGAGGAGCGCCGGAAGGATAAAAGGAGGAGTGACGACAGTGAAAGACGAGAGAGGACCAGGCCTGGATTTTATTTTGTTTTGTGTGCGGCAGTCGTCTGCGAGGGGCTGCCGCTTTACTTTCATTTTGTGTTTGTTTATTTTATTAAAATCTTAAATGTTCGCCGGTTCCCGCCTCCTTCTTCCCGACCTATGAACGTTGTTACAGTAACCTTTATATATTTAAAAGGTCTCTTAATAATATTGACTGAGTAAGGCCATGTCAAAGATTGAAATTATAGTGAAATTAATGGTTGAAATCAAACTTTGATGCTTGTTATCTCATAATAAGGTTTTGAGACTTTAGCCTGGATTTCACAGAGAGAGTCACGTGTGTGTGTGTGTGAGTGTATATATATATTAGATATCCAATAGAATAAAATAGACGATTGATCAGATATGATTTGGATAAAATCCAGAAGATAAAAGATTATGCGCATTTCAAAGAAGCTAAGGCAACATATTTTCCATCAAATGATTACTGATCAACAAACTATGTACATTATATTTAACGAGAAACAATGTGAGAGTGACCTGCAGGGATGCTCTGTCATTAGTGGTGTGTCTCCGGGTGGTGTTGGGTGTGTGGGAAGGGGAAGAGCCAGCGCTGAGAGCTTCCTCTATGTACAGATTGAGCTGATCTAATCTCTTCATTAGCTGGGTTATAGATTCAGACCAGGGAGACAGGACCTGAGGAGACTCCTGCATGCAGACAGAAGAGACATAGGACATCACAGACAAATAAAACTGATTAGATAGAGTCATTACATTAGACTCGGCCATTCAGTCAAGGGTCTGTGTTTCTTTTGTACACAGCCAAAAATAACCAACTTGATGAGCCAGCACTGATTTCAGAGCAGTGTCTTCTTATTCCTTAAAGCTTTCAAAGTCACACTAAACTACACACTGCATGAAAACACTATCACACCAATACTTTCTCAGAGGAAAATGTTACTGCTTAGACTTTATGGAATTTTCAGTTGTTTCATTTCAGTATCAACTTTGTCTCAGATGATTCTCCTACAATTCAGTGGAAACAAATAAGACAACTGCTGACATACGGTAAGAGCACAGATCTATAAAATTAAAGTGGACAGAACAGCCCAGATCATTTTGACTGAACAATCTGATTGGAAATGCTTGACTTCATAATGAGATTTCATTATGAGAAAACATTTTCAAGGAATATATGTCTATATGTAATGATGATAGATAGAACGATACGTAGAACAAAAGAATGATAGACAGACAGACAGACAGACAGACAGACAGACAGATAGACAGATAGATAGATAGATAGATAGATAGATAGATAGACAGACAGATAGATAGATAGATAGATAGATAGATAGATAGATAGATAGATAGATAGATAGATAGATAGATAGATAGAACGGTACACAGATAGAACAATAGACAGAACAGTAGACAGAACAGTGGACAGATAGAATGATAGATATAGCCAGATAGATAGAGATAGCGATTGATTGAATGATACATAGAACAGAGCAACAGACAGCAATAAACTGAATGACAGAATGATTTACAGATAGACCAATAGAAAGAATAAACGTTAGACAGAACAATGTATTATATTGAATACTAGATTGAACAATTGATCGATAGACAAAGAAGAAGATAAGACAAGACAAGACAAGACAAGACAAGACAAGATACATAATTTAGAAACTGTTGCTCTGTGACATTATCTTCTCCTGAGCAGCTATATATTAGCATTGAGAGTCAAATGTCCCAGCGCCACACACATCTGAACCAATACTTGCGAGCAACCCAGCTGCCATTGTGGTCCAAACATAGTCGTGTGGTATTCCTCTCCTTTCTCCTCACTGCTACTTTCACTGCTCCCCAGACACCCCTGTCAAAGAGTATAAATAGACTGTCCTGTCCAGCTCAGACCGGGCAGAGGGTTCCTGGGCTATAAATTACCTTCACCTACCTCACTCACCAAGCCGTAAATCAACAGAGTTGCCCCTTTACCAACAGGAAGTGGAGGGGCCAGAGAGCAGTAAGAGGGCAAAGATGAACTGTGAGGAATATTTAACAGTAACGTCCCGGTGCGGGAGACACAGCAGGCGGAAATGGTAAAGTCCTTCTTGGGATCTGGAGCCCCAAGGCAAAGATTACGCTCTCTCTCATCCCCACACAATGATGCTATTGATGGCTGTCATGCCAAAATGGGACACATTTGTCTCAGGCAGCAGATATACATGGTTCGGTTGAAAAGGGGGGCCACATACAAGGCATGTAAAATCTCAAGGAATGTGGGCATGGTAAAACCTTTAACCAATTAGACTCAAGATGCTGACATTCTTTCAGAGAGTGAACAAAGAGGCACAAAAGTCTCTGCCTTTCTTGGATAATTTTAAATGATACACTACCATTCAAATGTATGTTTTCAAAAGAAGTCTATTATGCTCATCCAGGCTGCATTTGATCATAAATAGAGTAAAAACAGTAATATTTTGAAATATTATTACAAAATAGCTGTTTTCAGGATACCAAGTAGGGGTCTGAATCTGGCATGACATTACAATATCCATCTGCCTGATCTTTGAGTTTCACGAGTCAAAGCTAGCAAGAAGGCTTTCTTGTTGTCCCTCTTAAGACATCAGCGCCGCTCTGTCGTGCTCTTCTGCGACGGACCATTAACCCTCTTAACTCTGACAAAAGACGATGCATTTGTTTATAATGTTCAAATCTGACCCCCACGCCAGTGGCGGCTCGTCGGGGGCAAAATTTTGAGGTGAAAATGGAAGGAGAACGATTTAATGTTAATAAAATTCACAATTCATTTCATTTCAGCTCTCGTGCCTCCGTTGGTAAAAAAATTAGCCAATCACCATCGAATGTTCACTTTCAGCGCTGAGGATTGTTGAGAAAAGTAACCTTGCAAGGGAGGCTAGCCTCCCTTCTGATGTATCAACCAATCATCATAGAGACGTAAATTACGTAATATTAGTTTGAACATCTCCCACTGCATTGATAATGTATCAAGTACTTATGATGAGTAGTGTTATTGAATATTTGATCGCCAACAGATTTACCAAGCTGTCATACAAATAAAAAATAAAGGGAGAACACGTCTAAGCTGGATATAGGCTGCAGCTCTCTTTTAACACAGACTTTTAAGAAAGGATGGATGTTTGCTTCAGGTGATAGGCCAGGTAAGAGAAATTATATTATCTTGCTGTATGTGTCGTTTTCTTTACGTTTTCTGACTAAAAGCAACCAAAAATCCATTTTAAAGTGGTTAAGCAAATAATAATAATACTAATAATAATAATAAATAATAATAATAGGCAGGGATCCCCAGACCAATACAAAGTTAAGACTGGTCCACGCCCTCCTAAAACACCTCGTTTAAACACACCCCCACATGTCTACGTCACTGTGTGGGAAGATTTGCATAACACCGCCCAAATGTTCACGCAAAGAAAGAAGGAGTAACTTTATTGTTGCTGCCACCGCCGCCGCCATGTCGTAGAGACGCTGTGTGTTTCGTTGTGAAAGCAAAAATACTTTGTTTGGTCTTCCAAAAGAGGACACGACTAGAAATCAGTGGTTAAGTTGTATTTACAAAACTGTTCCAGAACAGTTCAACCCAAATATTCAGATGTGTGCAGAGCATTTTATGGAGGACTGTTTCCTGATCCTGGTAGAGTAGACTTCAATGCCGACTGTTCTGACTCACAGACTGTAAGTACGTTTTCATATTTAAAGAATTTGCCACTGATGATTCAAATGCGAGTTTTGAGCAGTGTAGAGTAGCGCTTGTTGTTTGTCATTTCTCCGATCACAAATGCAGACATGGTTTCATGTTTACGCAGCGCTATGCAACGCAATGCATAAAAAGACAGTATAAGTCATTATAATCAGTAATTATGTCCCTACTGGATGCAACAAATGCCTCCTTTATAATGGGTTTTCATGTTTTTGTCTCGTCGCTCCAGGACACGGCATCACAGTATGGTAAGGGGCGTAACATTTCCGTCACATGCTTGAGGTATTCGGCCAATCACAACGCACTGGATAGCTCGCCAATCAGAGCACACCTCACTTTCAAAACAATGAGCTTTGTAAAAATCGACGTGTTTCAGAAAGGCGGGGCATAGAAGAGAAACAATAATGTACAGTATGTGGAAAATAATGTGTTTTTTAACCTTAAGCCGCATAAACACATTTCATTACACCAAATACACAAAATAATGTTATTTTTAGCAGCATCATATGACCCCTTTAAAAGCTATGGTTTGATTTCTGAGTTTATGGTAATGCTTTAAAATAAGATACAAATAAATTCAAATAAATGCTGTGCTTTTTAACTTTCTATTCATCAAAGAATCTTGAAAAAAAAAATGCATCACACTTTTCACCAAAATATAAAGCAGCACAACTGTTTTCAACATTGATGATAATAAAAAATGTTTCTTGAGCAGCAAATCAGCATCTTAGAATGATTTTTGAAGGATCATGTGACACTGAAGACTGGAGTAACGATGCTGAAAATTCAGCTTTGCATCAGAGGAATAAATTACATTTTATATTATATTAAAATAGAAAAGATACTTTAAACTGCAATAGTATTTCACAATATTATGGTTTTGATCATATAAATAAATGTAGTCTTGTTGATATTTATTAATATTAAAGTATATAAAAATACTGTTGTTTATTGTTCATTCATGTTTGTTCATAATACATATCATGAACTAATGAGTAATTTATACAACATAAAATGTCAAAAATGTATTAATATAATGCACAAGTTACCAATCTAGAATAATGAATGCTGTTAAAGTACTGTACACTGTACACACCAAAAAAACTGTAAAGTGTTACTAATTTAACTTATTTACTATTATTCTTAAAAACAACAAATATCAAGTTCTGATTGCCACAGATATGCTGATTTTTCATGAAAAACTTAGTGTCTTGCTCCCTTGGAATCTGTTCCTTGCACAGAATGTGTGGTATTCAATAAACCGGCATCGGTTAAAACACCCCTTTCTGCCCTGTCAGTCATGAGAAAATACACTTGTCATGGCAACTAGGCCGGAATGAGTCAGTCCCACCAGATCAGCTCATCATTGTTATCTTCCATGGTGGACAGAATGGCCGAGGACCATAACTGCACCGCCGCAAATTGGCCACATTGTAAATCTCAGCACTGGCCCATTGACATGGAAATGAGGAGTCAAGTGCCTGGCTTTGGCATTGCTCTGGGCTTCCTGCCATGGCCATGCCACCCACTGAGCGTGCCAGCCACCTCCACCGAGAGAATGTAGAAATATGTCATCCTTAAAGGCCACCAGCCATAATCTGTTTGCTGAACTGCTTCAAATCCAGGTCAGATAAGACTCTGAGGAGGAAGAAAATCCTCCTACTTTTTTGTTACAGAAGCCGTTCACTGTCAAACTGAATGTCTTTCCTCACAAGGATATGGACAGGCAGCTAGAAATGCAGAGTTTTCCACAATTCCAAGACATATGCACACATAAACTCTACCAGTGCTATTAGTCACAATATGGGTAAAGGTTTGTATATAGCGACACCAAAAGGTGAAGAGGGAAAATACATGAAATACATCTCAATAATTGTGTACTATATTAAATATCTACTATTTAATTTCCATATGAATTGTACTAAAGAATGACATTTATAGTTTTTGAAATATTTAACAA